CTTGCTAGGGAGTCATCCACACAGGCAGGCCTGTCTTCTGAGTCCCTGGTCCTGTCATCCCCACGTGTAGGGCAGACGCTACGCCCAGGGGTTTTGCGTTCTCCCGCGCCATCTGCCTGTGCCACGTGCCTCAGTACCGTGTCTGCAGGGCGAAGCGTCCCTGGGGGCCGGGGGTGCCTGGACAGTGGCCATGAGGCACACGGTGTCACCAGGGTTTCAGAACTGCCCTGGGTCAGGCCGGCGCTCGAGTAGTGGCTGCCTCTCACGGGCCAGGCCTTTCGAGTGCTTAGGCACGTGCCTGTGTGTGCGTGCCTACACGCATGTGCCTGTGTGTGGGATTTTCTGTGTCCGCTGCTCTGCCCGCCTTGCAGGTGTGTGCATGTATTTTTGGGGGGGGGTCACCCCTGCTGTCTGCCCCAGGCCCTGCAGTCCTGTGGGGAAGGCCGGGCACCTGGGGCTCCTCTCTGTCTCCAGCTGGTGGGTTTGGAGGGGGGAGGGAGGGGGCACAGGCATGGCCCTGGGGTACGTCCCCGAGAACCAGGTGAGAAGCCGGGCCGGAGCCCCCCTGACCTGACGGCTGGCCGTGCGAGCTTGGCAGGGCTGGTTTAGTTGGTGTGAACTCAGGGTCGTGGGAACCCTTCACCTCAGAGCAGGGTGGAGCCCCTCACCTTGGAGCAGTGGAGGGGGGCGTCTTCAGGGCAACGCTGAGGGCTTTTAGCAGAAGGAAGTGAGGCCGTGCGGGGGTAGAGCCGATGCAGCCACAGCCCACCCTCGCCAACGGGGCTCCCTGGTGGGGCCGCTGCATTGAGGACCACGTCTCAGGGCTCCTGTCCGTCAGGCCAGCACCACAAGGTCCTGAAACCCCATCTTCCAGGTGTGTGCAGGGCTAAGAGCTCGGGCCACACTGTGTCCTGGATGCATCAGGTCCTTGCCAGGCACCACATGCAGCCGGGGGGCTGGGCCGGGACACCCCACTGCTGTGGCAGGAGGCCAGCTGTGCGTTCCCCGGTCCTCCAGGTGGGGCGGGGCCCACACAGACCCCAAGCCCTCTGCCTGCCCGAGAGAGCTCCTGCTGGCCTGGGTGGGAAGAGGCCAAGTGCGAGGTCCCAGAGCCGGCCCCTCTGTGCCCCCTGGTCCTTGAGGCCCTTCCCCTGGGTGGGCGGGGCAAGGCAAGTGGAGAGGCCTCCGTGTTGATCATGTCGATTCGCTCCTGCTGTCCTTTGTGTCCCCCAGATGCGACAAGGCGCCTTCCTGGTGAACACAGCCCGGGGCGGGCTGGTCGACGAGAAGGCGCTGGCCCAGGCCCTGAAGGAGGGGCGGATCCGGGGCGCAGCCCTGGACGTGCACGAGTCGGAGCCGTTCAGGTGCCTCCTGGCGACACCCTGGGTGGTCCTTGGACAGCACGTCTCCCAACCGGGCCCCCACCCAGCCTTACGCCCCACGCTGGCCACTGGCCGGAGTGGGGCTGGGCCTGCCACCACGCGTAGTCTCCAGGCCCCAGCCGAGGGTCCAAGGACACGGCGTCCTTGGGCTTGGTGTCCAGCCTGAGCCACTGCTCCAGGCAGGCTTGCCCCCGGGGCCCGGCCGGGTCTCAGCGGGCGTGTGACTGGTGCTGTAGGTGGGGAAGGGGAGGGCTCAGACCCGCGCTCCATGCCGAGCACTTCGGGGTGCCACGTCAGTGGGTTTGCCCAGGTGCACGAGGCAGCTGACCCTCATGTGGCCGCGTCTGTAGAGGCCCCGCACCGAGAAGCCGTTCTGGGTCGGCAGCTAGCCCCTGGTTTGTCAGCTTTGCCGGGAGGGCCTGGAGGCCCTGCGGCTCTGGGGACCAGCGCCCTCGCCTGCAGGGAGGGCTGGGGCAGTGTCCCCGCTGCTGTCAGGGGCCCGTGGGCAGGTTTGACCATCCTCGGGTCCCCTGGTCTGACCCAGGGGTGAAGTGTGGGTCCAGGCAGGGTCAGGCACCCCCCACACTACCCTGACCTGCTCTGTGCCATTCGTAGCTTTAGCCAGGGCCCCCTGAAGGATGCGCCTAACCTAATCTGCACCCCCCACGCGGCCTGGTACAGCGAACAGGCCTCCATCGAGATGCGGGAGGAGGCGGCCCGGGAGATCCGGAGAGCCATCACAGGTGAGAGCTGCGGGCAGACCCTGGTGCGGCCCCTTCGGAGGCCTGCACCGCTGGGCCGCCAGAGGGACCTCTGCTCCCCGCCACTCGAGGCCGAGGCCGCGGAGCTGAGACCGACCTGCGCCAGGGCGGGTCCACACCCTTCCGCACCCTGCCAGGCCCCCAAGTGCAGAAGTCGGCACTCGGCTTCCACACGGTGCTCCCCACACAGCCCTCGGGTCCTCCTCGCACAGCACGTTGACGGTGCCCGGTCTCTGTCGCCCGTGTGAGAATTCAGCACGCGTGTCCTCCCTCACCCCGCGTTTAAAAAGTCTGGCTGTGCTTGTGAACCTGGGCTGGGCCTTTGCTGCCCTCCAAAATCCCTAGCCCCGGCAGAGAGCTAAGGGCACCGCTCGGTGCTGGGGGCTCCCTGAGCTGCGAGGTGACCGCACCCAGGACCGGTGCCTGCTGGGCCTGAGGGTAGGGAGAGACCCTGAGCCCCTGGGTCCTCGCTGCAGCCGCCGCACACGCACTGCCCTTCCTCCTTCCGCCGCATTTCCCAGGCCGGATCCCCGACAGCCTGAAGAACTGTGTCAATAAGGATCACCTGACAGCGGCCACCCACTGGGCCAGCATGGACCCGGCTGTGGTGCACCCCGAGCTCAACGGGGCCGCCTACAGGTGAGCGGGGGGCGGGGACACAACGCTTCCGTGATGACTGCGGGTGGGGCAGGGGCGTGGGGGGCCCTCAGGCCTGGACGTGCATGCGCAGAAGGGCAGGGCGCGGGAGACCGAGCTGGATGGCCTTTCTGGCCTGGAGGCGCCAGACACGTGGGCAGAGACCACCCTGGAATCGGGAGCGAGGGGAGGAGTCGGGGGCGGTTCCCAAAGGCCCCGCCTAGCAGGACCCCTCCCCGCCCCGACT